GAATCAGACTGGGAATAACCCTGGAATCAGACCGGGAATCACCCATGGAGGTGCACATGGAATTACATGGAATCAGACTGGGAATCACACATGGAATCACCCATGGAATCACAGGGAATCACCCATGAAATCACAGGGAATCAGACCGGGAATCACCCATGGAGGCGCACATGGAATTACATGGAATCAGACCAGGAATCACACATGGAATCACCCATGGAATCACAGGGAATCAGACTGGGAATAACCCTGGAATCAGACCGGGAATCACCCGCAGAGCCACACATGGAATCAGACCCGGAATCACACATGGAATCACCCATGGAATCACAGAGAATCATCCATGGAATCACAGAGAATCACCCATGGAATCCCAGGGAATCAGACCAGGAATCATCCATGGAGCTGCACATGGAATCAGGCCGGGAATCACCCTGGAATCAGGCCGGGAATCGCCGCGGAGCCGCGCCCGGGTCCGCCCGCAGCGGCTCCCGCATCCCCGGGCCGGAGCTGACCTCTGCTGGCGGGACTCAGCGGCCGAGCCCCCCCGGGGGTCCCCGGCCCGCTCGGGGGTCCCCGGCGCCCCCATCCCGGCCCGAGCGGGGATTTGGGGCAGCCGGGATTGTCCGGGCTGGGATCCGCGGGCGGGGGGCCCAGAGGGGCTGGGCGGCCTCTGCCGGGGGGGTTTGAGGTCGGCACTGCCGGGGGGGTTGGAGAGTCAGGATTTGGGGTTCGGCACTGCCGGGGGGGTTGGAGAGCCGGGATTTGGGGTTCGGCACTGCCGGGGGGGATTTGGGGTTTGGCACATCTCTGGAGGGATTTGGAGAGTCGGGATTTGGGGTTCGGCACTGCCGGGGGAGTTGGAGAGTCGGGATTTGGGGTTTGGCACTGCCGGGGCGGATTTGGGGTTTGGCACATCGCTGGGGGGGTTTGGAGAGTCGGGATTTGGGGTTCGGCACTGCCGGGGGGTTTGGAGAGTCGGGATTTGGGGTTCGGCACTGCCGGGGGATTTGGAGAGTCGGGATTTGGGGTTCGGCACTGCCGGGGCGGATTTGGGGTTTGGCACATCGCTGGGGGGATTTGGAGAGCCGGGATTTGGGGTTCGGCACTGCCGGGGGGTTTGGAGAGTCGGGATTTGGGGTTCGGCACTGCCGGGGGGTTGGAGAGTCGGGATTTGGGGTTCGGCTCTGCCGGGGGGTTTGGAGAGGCTCCCGGCGCCTGTCGCAACATTCCCAGGGCATGGAGAAGGTTCCTCCCCAGCCGCGCCGCCCCCGGCCGGGCTCGGAGGAGGAGGAGGAGGAGGAGGAGGAGGAGGAGGAGCAGGCGGCCTTGGCACAGGCGGGGGCACTGCTGGCTGGACGGCGACCGCGGGCCCCAGATGTTGAGCTGCGGGCACGGCTTTGCCCGTTTGGCAGCGTCCTCGCCCAGCTGCCGCCCCTGTCCCGCGGCTCCGCAGCCGGGGCTGCCGAACCCCCCCGGAACGGCCCCGGTGTCCCCCGGGGCCCGCGGCGGCACCTGGGCCGGCCTGGCCCCGACCCAGGCGCGGGGCCGCGCCGGCGCTCCCGGAGGGAGCGGGGGATCCGCGCCAGCTCCGCGGAAAATCGCTCGGGATGAGCGGCCCCGGCCCCTCCGCCGACCCCGGGGGGCGCTTGGGGGCCTTTGCCAGGGTCGAGGCAGAGATCCCGGGGGACCCCCGGCCCCCCGCGCAGCTCCGCGCAGGGAACGGGGATTTCCCGAGCCTTCCCAGGCAAATCCATTAATTACTCGATGAACCGAAATTAATTAGGATCGGATCCTCCAAGCGCGGCTGCTCCGAGTCGCGTCCTTGCATCCGGCCGAGGCTCCGGCTCCAGGATCCACATCCCGGCGGATCCGGGGGTGCTCCCGAGGGGACGGGGGTGCAGGGGACATCGCGGGGGGCTCCTTGTCCCCGCTCCTTCCGAGGGACCCCCGCGAGCGGCCCCAGAGCCGCCCCCATCCCCATCCCTCCATCCCATCCCC